CCTTAAAATTACTTTTGATCCTAAAGGAAATAAAGTCGAATAAATTTTTGCGATTTCATTCAAACTGCGAATTGCTAGAAAGCTAACACTTTTCGTACCATATGTAACACTTTTTAGTCGAAATATTTTAATACTGTCTTCAGGCTTATCTCGCCATAAAATACATTGTAAATTGCGGTCACTTTCTTCAACTAATATTTGCCTATACATTTTAGCAATATCTCCAGCAAGTACAAATAAATGTAAACGAAAGCGAACGACAATGCTAAATAAATCCTCTTGGATAGTAGGACCATTTAAAAGAATATCATTAAGAGACTTATTTGTTGTGGTCTTTGCGGAGTCATCGAAAACAACACGATATTTAGTAGATGACGAATCCAATTTAATAACACAATGGTGTGGTAAAAAAAATTTCCGTTTAGGATTAATACTTTCAAAGTCGACAGGTTCCATATGGTCCAACGATAAAAATTCATTAATAAAACTTTGATATTCTTTCTGCAAGAAAGAATTTGTTTTCAGTTTTCTTTCAAGATTCATAAACCTCTTCAATGCAATATTATATGAATCCCCCAAAGTCGAAGGATTATCCTTGAGCGGTAATTTAACAACACATCGATGTTAAATTACCGCTATTAAACACCAGAACTACCGATGTTAAACACCAGAACGATCTCTTCTAAAATTCATTTTAAAATGTTGCTCGCAACTTAGATGTTCTAAAGACAGTTTGGGAACCTCAGTATTTAAATTTTCAATTTCCCAAAATTTATGCATAATCTTTTCAATATTTTCAAAAATTATCTTGAGTTGAACAGAAAAATGAAAAGGTAGAATCAGTAATTAAAGAGCCGGAAGCTACCCAACCAAATACTGTTTCCTGGAAAAATGGAGAACTTTCATCGCAACGGATTTGTCCAACACACAAAATTTTCCAGAATAACTCAGTCCCTATGAGTAAATCGACTTCTCTTGGAACATTAAAAAATGGATCTGCCAAAGAAATATTTTTTGGAATCTTTATAGATTCCAGTTCAAACCGGCGAGTTGGTTGTAAGCTAGTGATTTTTTCAATAATATGAACTTCGATTGTTTCTGAAAATTTATTTGTTCTAGAGCTAAGTAATATTTCAGCCTTATATTTTGAATTAGGTGAATTAATATTTCCTATACCAGTCACATTAATATTGGCCAGGACAGTTTTCAAATTTAATTTTTCAGCCAATTTTCTTGTAATAAAATTCGATTGTGAGGCAGAGTCTAAGAGTGCTCTACACTGTACAAAATTTCCATTAGAAGTTTTTACATTTATTAAAGCTGTTGGGAGTATCACTTGATGTGAATCAGAAAGCGAAATCAAAGCATCTGTTTTATCAGTATGAATGGAATCAAAATTTTTGCCCGTTGAAGTTGATTGTGAATTTAAATTTATTTCAGAATTATTTACGAAATTTGTCGTTGGTGTGGTAGTTGGGGTAAAAATTCTATTCGAATTTGCATTTGAATGAGTTTGATTATTGAAATTAGATTTAGAATTTTTTAAAACATTATTATTAGTACAGGATTCAGACGAGCGATGTAAAAAATTATGATGATTGCCGGAGCAGTAATTACATTTTTTGTCGCGACAATTTTTTACAGTGTGGCCAGGCTTTAAACATAATATGCATAATTTCAATCTCTTTGCCTCATCAAAAAGAGATATCGGAGACATTTGTCTGAATCGTTTGCAACTAAAGATGTTATGGTTAGGTTCTTGGCATATTAAGCAATTTGTAGGGGTTGAAACTATGAATGTTGAACGTTTAACTTTATATTTTTCGGTTCCTACAGAGCGTGTAAGGTCAAGCGTTTCTAGAGTTCTACAACGCTGTTCAAGAAATTCTGATAATTCAGACCAATTTGGAAAAACAAATTCCTTACCATTCTCATCTTTATCTTGGCTATATTTTTCTGCAATAAATTCCTCCCAACGCAACTGTGAGTCCTTATCTTGACGTGGTATGACCAACTGCAATAATAACGCATCTGCTATTTGTTCTTTAGTTCCAATGGATAATAATGATCTCAAATTTCCATTAATACTATCAATGATACCACGAATATTTTCTATTGTTGGCTTAAATATAACTTCCACATCTAAAATAGAATTAATGTGTGAATAAAATAAAAATTTTTTATTAAAATAACGTTTTTTTAATAGTGAAATTGCTTCTTTGTAACTTTTATCAACACTATCTATATTTTTTATGATATTTTTAGCTTTACCAATGAGACACCCTTTTAAATGTTGAAATTTAGCTAAATCGGTCACCGAATCATTATCATCCACCATTCTACTAAAACTGCTCCAAAAATCCAACCATTCAGTTACCTTACCGCTAAAGGTGGGAAGCTCAAGATTCTTTATAAAGGTTGTTTTAGGCGGAATGGTATTTTCAAATTGGGTAGCATTGAAAGAAATAGAGTCTGTGGGTTTTTTACTATCGATCAGCTTCAAAAGTTTTGATTTCAATTCAAAATAAGAATCCTCAAACTGGGTACGAAATTCAGCATTAGCTTCTTCATCTTTATCCAGACACTCTAACCTTGATTGATGCGTATTAAAATTTATTAAATAAGTTTCAAGCATACCTAGTTTTGTCTCCAACTCAAAAGTATTTGCTTCTTTACCTTTGTTAGCTAAATAATTTTTGCTTGGTTACCTGTCCTTTAATGATCCTACGAAGAATTTTTAATTCCTTTATTTCGTGAATAGCGGCAACTTCTTTAGTCTTATCATCATTGGACATTTTGATTCGATGATTATTATTAAAACAATTATGTATGTATATACCAAAAAATCAAATTCAAAATAATATAAAAATGTATATACCCAAATGCAAATTCAACCACACACGTGTAAAAAATAATCCTTTAAAATTTTAATAATCTTGATAAGTTTTTACTATAAAAGTTTTTGAATGTTTCCAAAGTTTATTATAGTTTATCGCAAATATCATCTAATTTATGAAAGTCACTTTTAATCTTTGATTATATAAAGAAAAGAAAAAATGTTCGAACAAATTGAATAAAAAAAAATAATTAACCACGAGGTTTTGAAAAAAGTATATATTATCAAAGCAAAGATCCGGCTCGAAGGACCAGTTGTTTAACCTTAAGCCTTTTTAAAGTAAACAATAAATTAGTTACAAAATCAAATTCAAATTTTATTATGCGAAAAAGTTCTAATTACAACATAGCACGACGAAAGTTTTATTACGACTGTACATAAGTAAGTTTAGAAGAAAAAAATATGATTGAAAACAAATTAATATTACTACATGTGTAAAGGCAGGTAAAGAGATAATTTAACATAAATAATGCTATACCTCATGCACAAAACAATAAAATTATAAATATGTTGATGTTCTATGTTTACGAGGTAGATTTGAAAGTTTCTTCAATATTGTTAAAAAAAAATACAAGCTATAGAGCCGTTTTTGTAAACTTTTTTAGGCTGAGTCAAGTATAATTGTTTTAAGGATAAAATAAAGTTTAAAATAGAAAAAAAAAAAAATACGGTCGTTAAAAATGCGTCCTTTCAAGTTATCTCCTATATAAAATAAAAATGTTATAAAGAAACCAGTAAAAGCTTTTAAAGTTTCTGATGCTAATATATTTTCTAATATATTTAAAATCACACATAAAACTAAAAAGAATCATATGAACTTTTAATATAAAAAGAACATACAAATAGAGTAATTTTTATGAATTATAAAACATTAATTTAACTAAAATGGTTATTATATAAGATATATGTATTATGGGAGGCGTATCATACATAATTAGAAAATGTGTTAATATCAAACAATTTTTATACTCTGCACCTTCGTGAAGGGTATATTCACTTTGGTATGAACATGTATTTACATCAAAGTTGTCGATTGAATTATTTGTATTTGTTATTTCTTTTCATTATTCGTTTCGCAAGTTCTTTCTTTTCTGCCAAGGATGGCTGATAATGTAATTGGAACAACTCGGATAACGGGTTCGGGTAGCTGCCATAAAACTCAAAGGTTATGTTAAATATTTCAAAAACTAATTTATTACCAATTTCGCCAGAAATTGGTAATAAATTATTATATTGTAATGGAATTTCAGAATTTAAATCCACGTATTTTTTTGATATTCTGATCTTTTTTGCACGATTTATAATTGCAATACATTGATAATTTTCTTCTTCAAAAAAATATTTATAATATAGTCTTGTGGGGTCCTCATTTGACACAAAAACTTTACGCACTTTACTTATAGTAAACTTTTCATTACATGTGTTTTTAACGAAATTAAGAAGGTTTGATATTACTTTAAAATTTAAAAAATCATTTCTATGTCAACATAAAATGAAGAGTTAATTTTAGAACATCTTATAAGGGAATACCATTGCTCTGGCACAAAAATACCTTTTTTACTTTTTCCGATGTTTGCGTGAACGCTATCCCCTTCATTTTGTGTGTGGCCCCTTTCTAAGTATCTATGGGTTATGCTTACTTTATATTTATTTGCAGCACAAGCATGAAAAGAAAATAAAGTTTTGTTGCGATTTTGGCCAGCACAATTGTCTGACGAAAAATAGAACTCATTACAGTCTTCTTTTGCTTTATTTCAATATACTTTTCTAAACAGCTAGAAACTTCGACGGAGCATTTTTTCGTAATAATTTCATGCCATACGTAGCAATATCCGGTTTTACTTGCCATACTGTATATTGTAAAGTTGTAAGTATTGTACTTTCTTTTACAGTAAAAAACCGAAGTTTCAGCTTGGGACATTGACAGAATTTCTGGAAATCGAATACAGCTGTGCCTACGTTCTGGTTTTCTTTTGCCATTTTTTTATCTTTTATTTTTAACTATCGAGCATTATTTTTATTTGCTAAATGTTGAAGCTGAGCAGATTTGATTTTTACGTTACTTTTCTGAGAATCATTTATTACCGTAGGCCATACAAGTATCTCACTGGTCCTTTTTCGGTCTAAAAAAACCTATGTTAAATTGAATGTTAAATATATCGCGGTATTTTCTTTCAGTTATTTTGCATTCCTGATTATTTTCTTCAAACGAAGTCTTGAAAAGGCGATACATTTTTGCTATATTTAAGTCTCCTATATTTAAGTATATTGATATATAGGTTTTTGTAACTGATTTTCTCAAGTAATCCGATTCAACAACAGGAAATGATTTGATGTGTTTGACTATTGCTTCCTGGTTTTTGTTAACATCATCTTTTAAAATTCTGACGTGAAGTCCCCTTTTATCATTGACTAATGCTCCATCTCCATCTTGTATCTTTCGATAATTCAATCCATTCGGAATTTATATCAAGCGTATTGAGAAACATTATTCTACCAACTTTTTCTTTTTGGTTCCTTCAGCAGAGAATATATTTAAAAAGTAGTGCTTATTTCCGGTTCTCCATATTTTCTTATAATTTTGCAGCTCTGTTTTTGCTGATAAAGTGTAAAATTAAATGTAAAATTCCACTGCCTATATTTATTTTATAATTTTCAGAAGTTTTCGAAATTTTTCTGACGATCAATCACAAAATCATTTATTTTTTTAAAGCATTCCATTTTGCAACTACATGGTTTTTTTCATTTTTCTTTCTTTTATAGATTTACTATAAACATTGACATGTTTTTTTCCAGTATTAAAAGCTTCTTTAGACATTACACTTTTCGATTTATTTTTTAAAACCGGTCGTTTTTTGGAGGTTTTTTCTTGAACATTTTCGTTTCGCCGTTTTTTCTGATTTCTTGCAGGACGTTTTTCTGATTCTTTGTTATTTTTTTCGACGTATTTTTGGGGTAATAGGACTGTGAGCTGGTGCCTCACACTCCAAGTCTGAATCTGAGTCTTAACAATCGGCAAACAAAAGGCAGCAAATATTCACTACCGCTATTTTCGAAATCTAAATTTTTTTTAAAAGAAGACAACATAATATTACATTAATTATTATAATATATTTTATTAATTTACAAAAAAAAGTTATACTAAGTAAATTTCGTATAAAATCAAGTACATAATATCGAAAGTGCTTTGCTTATAGGTATGCTTCTCCATAATTTTCAATTAAAAATTTCAAATATTTCACAATAGTGACTTTTAATTAAAAATTCAGTGTTATATTTTAAATTATAGTATTTCTTTAAAATGTTATTAAAGAAGTAGTTAAAAAAAGTTAAATGCTAATTTTCTCTTTTAATTGTTTTTAATTTTTTAAACAAAAAATTTAGTGATGTTAAATCAATTTTTAATGCCGTAACGACTTTTAAATTTCAAATTCAATTTTAATTTTTGAGTTTTTTGAATATTTAACGAACTTTTCTGTGTAATGGTAAAATAATATAACTGAATGTATAGGTTTTATGCGGAATAATGAACGTTTGTAGTTTTATATATTATGTATGTACACACGCAAACATTTCGTTTTAAAAGCTGTATTGCAGTGAAATTTAAAAAAAAATTCTTTTTGGTGTAATTTACAAACAAGATTTACTGCATTTGGGATCATATTATTTCTGTAATAATTGTACAAGCGGAAAATCATAATGGTCTTGACTAAAATTGAGAAAATAAATAAATTTTTCGACTTTTTTTGAAAGCAAGAAAAAAAAACTGTTTCTAAAATAACCGTTGCTGCAAGTAAATCACAAAAGTTTCAAATCATTATGTCTACATATGTTTTCATACATAACTATACGTATCTAGGTAGATACATAAGTTATTATAAGTATATGAATTTATGCAAGAGAAATTATGTTAAAAATTAAAAAAAATCTGATGTCGTCAGCACATAACCGACCGCAATGTGTAAAAATGTCTTTTAAATACTTCTTTCCAATTTTTAGGACATTAGTAAGCTTATAGTTAAAATACCGAGAAAAATATAAATTTGGCTCTTAGTAGAGTTTCGTTTTGTGTTACCTGATTCCCCAGAAATGCTCGCCAGTTAGTTTCGGTAACAAATAGAACTCAAATATCTAATTTCAAAAAATTCCATCAATTCGTTCCGTAGATATGGTGAAAAATGTAAAATCGACACGCAAATCAGTTTTCGAGCCCTGATCTTGCCAAAAAATATTTATATGTTCATTGTTTCAATACGATGAATTCAAATATTAAATTTCAATGAAATCGGTTGATTATTTCTGTTTATATACACAAAAATGTATATTTGGCCCGTAGTAAACGTCCAGTTTCTGATGCCTGATTTCTTCCAAAAGTTAGGAATTTTGGCGGACGGTCGAGCAAAGCTTATATATGAAATTTGAAGAAAATCGATTGAATATTTTATTTAAAATATTCAAAAATTTAAAACAGGCCCGCTAAAACGTGCAGTTCCCGAGGCCAAAAGTTGATATCTATCCCAAAAGTTGATCAATCTGTGCCATGGTGGAAATAAACTTACATGTAAAAATTCATCAAACTCGGTTCAGCAGAACTTGAGATACACGCGTGCACACACAGACCGACAGACCGACACACCGACAGACCAACAGACCGACAAACCGACAGATCGACAGGTTGTTAAAAATAGTATACTTACACTTCCCTACTATGGAGAAGTGCATTCCCACCGAAAACTCGATATGCAAAATTTGTTGCCATCACATAACCTACTTATTGCATACGCAATACGGTCTGTAAGAAACGTCTTCAAGGTAACTGTCAATTTGTCAGCCTTTTTACCATACTGACATATACCTGGCCTTTTTTACCGTTATTTTTTTTATACTGCATTTTTGAATCAAACGCAGTATATGTTTATGATTCTGAAATGACAACATAACAAGACCGATACCTACACATGCTGTAAAAGTAACATATTACGTCAAAAACAAATCTTTTTTAAATGTTAAAATAATCTGAATGAAAACTTACCTTGTAAACTTTCCTTGTCCACACTATAATTTTCCAAATATATGATTTTTTCCTTTTCTGAAACAGTCAACACTGGACCATCTGATTAGAGAAATTATATTTTTGCAAACATTTGCAAAATTAGGTATATATTATAAAATAAGTAAATACCTGTATTATTAGGTTCTTGCTGAATATTTCTATTTTTTAAAATATCTCTCGCCATTTCTAATAATATTTTTCCCTGTTTACTCATTTTAAGCACTTTTAAAAAAAATTTTTGAAAAAATGTGCTTATTAGTTTCACTCTGTCCGTCCGTCCGTCCGTCCATCTGTCTGTGGGCACTTTTTTTTGTTTACAAAACTTCTACACCCTTGAAGATAGAAAAATGAAATTTTGTATGTACATAGATCTTTACTAGAAATTTATTTCCGTATAACAAAATTTTTACTTATCTCTTTTCCTCTAGAAGCTATACCTCCTCAAAACCCTAAAAATGGTCTTTTTTAACTAATTGTTGCAATGAAACCACGAGCATTTTTGAAATTTTGCAAACGCATACAGGCAGTGGCTTGCTTCCCCTACCGCGGTATATTATAGTTAAACTGTAGAAAAACAAAATTTACCGTTATCTAAAGTCTTTTCCAAATTTTTGATTTCTAGATTTCTAGTTTTTCTTCTAGATCCTAGCCTGTAGAAGCTTGAAATTTAACGGACTTTCAGATATTAACAAATAATTCATTTCGTTGGAAGAAAATTTTTTTCCATCTCCACCCCCTCTCAATATCGCCTCTTGAAATTTGTGAAATTTGAATTATATTAAAATATTTCCGAAACCGCAAGTTTTTTCAAATTTTTATAAACACAAAAAGCTAACGGTAAATTCCGTGGCATTAAAAAATATAATTATTTTTCTTAACTCACACAATTAACCCTTAAAATCGAGCATTATGTTAACGCCTCATTATATTAATTTTTGCTTTATTTCATAGACAAAGATTGCATCATCCTAAATATATGCAATCCTAGAAATAGCTTTGTATATGAATGAAAATAATTTCAATAGTGTGATAGGTATACATTGACTATATTTAAAAGCAGAATTTTCATTTGTTGAAGGGAAAAGTGCTACAATACACACTATTGGTTTGGCGCAACTTTGTTTTTTTGTTTTTTTATATTATAAACTTACGCTTTTGTTATTTTTATATTAAAAAAATTTCCGGTTAAGAGCATGTAATATTTTTATTAAAAAAATTTCCGTATAAAAGTATTACTTTCGACTTTGTTATACTATTATTTAGGAGATTTTTGGAAATGTAAAAAAAGTAAAACATAACTTCGGCCATAACTTCGGCTATGATTGTACGATTAGGCTGATTTTTTGCTGAGATATGTGGTTCGATACGGGCTTTCTAAATATGCATCAGATTAATAGTATCACAATGAATACTATTAATTGGGATGGTCGATATGTTCTAAAAATTTTAACGGAAAGGTAGTTGAAATTAACTCCAAAAGCTAATTTTAAATATTCGGTTCATGAAACTTGGTAGTCATGTGCCCTATTGTAGGTCACATATATTCCTGAAGTTTTATTGGAATGACTTTAGAGGTTCGGCTAACTGCCATACAACTCCAAAACCTAATTTTAAATATTCAGAAATATAATAAGCCCTAGCTACCTGTGGGACAAAACATGGAAAGACAACGAAAACAAAACAACAAAACAAGACTGACAAGACAACAAAATAAAACAGCAAAACAATACCTATTGAGCAGTATGGAGATTAACTTTCGTAACGCTTACAAGGATGTAGATATGTAGAGCATCTCATCTACGTCCATCTATCAACCGGGGATTCTCGAAGGGAGCAGAACTGTGAGCTCTGACCACAGCCAATGAGGAAAAATACTCCAGGCAAGAAAGGAAAAGGAGAGGTAGGAAGCAACCCTATCCGCCGCCGTTGGGATAACCAGGGGGTCTGGATGATCAGAACTGGGTGGACTCTGTTACACTGGCGTAAGATGGTACTTATACGTTTCCTGGAACAGGGCAAAACGCATGGAAAGGCCCAGAAATTGGCAGCGGATAGGAAGAGGTGCGTAGAAGGACAGGTCCAGGCTGCTCTTGGTAGAAAAAGAGAACGAAAGTCTTTGACACCCCAGGAGGAGCAAGCGAAAAGGAAAATGACTGCTCAGAATAATGAGGCGGGAACGAGTACAGCACACCCTGTTCCGAGAACTACATCAGGTGTCAGCTATGCGGCGACTATCAAGGTCATAAGGGTCGCGATTTGGCGAAGAACTACTCTTGGAAATACTGACACAACACAAGCAAAAGGCCGGGACGAGTTCACTCTGTTTGAAGGAATTCACTTCAAACCTGAAATAATTTTCATCGATTGTGCAGATGGAGAGGCCGCAAGAGAGCTGATGACGCAGGCAAACACGTTTAGCACGTAACAGGGCCCAGAATTGGCTGAAGGCGCTTCAGCAAACCGCTTCGAAAATGAGGGCCACGTTCTTTGCCACGCAAAATGATTGGCAGAAAATCAGTAGTTTTTTGGCCGGAGAAACCTTAGGCTGAGGCTGCAAAAACGGGGGCCACAAACGACGGGTAGGGCATTTTCGATGATAACGGTCGGTAGCGGAAATGGCCGATGAGCTGGAACTAACCTTCCTTAACCTCAAGGAGTCGTCTCCAAAGAAGGTGATCCTTCGGAGAGGGGAACACTTCCGTCCCAGCAATAAAACCTCCCGTCCGATGGTATAGTTTCACTATGCCAGGTATAACTGGGATTGTCCAGGTATGGCTTCACTATGCCAGGGGTTGGAGCTTCACCTGGAAAGGGCTGTCATTGACGTGATTGTCGGCATGAACTGCCCCACGTCTGCTTTCTAGTAAGAAAAACATTAACTTTATTCTCCTTTTATTATTTCCGCGAGGAAGGAGTATAGGGTGAAATTAACGATCTATAACAAAGAAGTCCGCGGGTCTAAGATTTACGGAAGTCGGAATTATGAATAAAAACAAATATTAGAATTTGAAAATTGAAAAAAAGGTTTTATTAGTTAATTATTGGTAATGTTATTTAAATAATACTAATTAATATTAGTTAGATATTATATTACAGATTTTATTTAAATATCATTTAAATATTCTTTTTTGGTAACGTTGGTTAAATTTTGGCAGTTAACAATATTCTTAACGTATATGAATAATACTCCTTAATTCGGTTTTATTTTCACTAAAACAACTCGCGTCGCGAACGGTAGGAACAAGAATAATTAATAATTACTATAAAGCTTTTTTCGTTTTTGAAACAGTCATGTTGCAATGCAACGTGCTGATAAAAGACCAAGAAAAACGAAATTTATTTTGCATAAAAATATGCATCAAACATAAAATTTGAAATCGATACGAAAATGCAAAATACAGCTGATGCGCACAAATATGTTTGCGCGCGTAAATTATTGTTATAAAAAATATACTTTGTTCAGTAGTTGAAATATGCTTCTATTATAGGGTGTTCCGGTTGTTACCGCAACTCCCCCACCCTTTGACGAAGGCTCCAAAGGAGTTATTTTAATGCTTTCCTTTTTTTTATAAAACAAATAAATTACAATTACAGTAAGTATGATTATAATTACCAATTTTACAGGATAATTTATAAGTTTTTCAACGGTACTAACATACATAATTTCTTTAATGTTTTCTCTATTATTCTTCATATTTTCTAAATGCAATTTATCAAAAGTTAACTCCGATTCAGTATTTATATTTTCTTTAATTACAATATTTGAATTTGGTGAAATTATAGTATCTTTTATTTCAACGTTAAAATTTTTATAAGTTATATTATTAATTATAATTTGACATTGTTCAAATTTTATCAAATTTGTTCCCTTAATGGTAATATCAAAATCATTACAGTTATGAAGAATATTGGTTTTCTCAATATTTTTTGTGATAATTAATTCAATCTTTATTTCTTTAATGGATGATTCCTTAAATTTTCTAAAATTACATTTAGTTTCATTTTGGTTAAAAAGTTTTATAGTACATGAATCATTCATTTCCTTTAAATTTCTTTTTAAGTTTCCTAATACATTTGAATAATATACAATCTTATTATCATCAATTAAAATTTCCTGTTGTTCAACAATTAGTGTTTTATTTAGTTTATTAGGTATCGGTTCTGTAAAGATTTTAGTATATTGGTATTAAAATTACTATGACTAATTCTTTTCCAAATGCAACAATGCTAATTTTAATATTTGCTAGGGTATTTAGGTCTGGGATTTCTTCAAATTCATTGTCAGTTAATATATTTTTTGTGAGTATGCCTAACCTACTGGTTAAAATTGTCTGTTCAATGTCGTCAATATGGTTTTTCAGTAAAGTAATGTCTTAATTTATGTGATATAGTTGTTGAGTATAGTTCATTTGATCTTTTTTAATATAATTTATGCCTGGTTCTAATGGTAAGTCCATTCTGTCCTTGTTCAATTTAACAAGAACTAAAGTTTTCTTTTTAAGGATTTTATTATAGATTTGTTCGTATTCGTCTTCCTTTACTTTTCCTTGAATGAGGTCAATTGGTTTTTTGTTAGCCGAGGAGTGTATAGTATTATTATAGTAATCGTTAATTAAAATAAGTTGTTCTTCTATAAGTAGGTTTCTTTTAGTGTGTTTTAGTAATCACAAGTGCTCGTTTACCGTGTTATGGAGGCGTTCATTGTCCGAATTGCTATTATGGTTCGAGTTAGATGTATAATGTATCTCTATGTTGTTTTCTTTTAGAAATTTTTTCATTAGGCCCGATTTCATGCCTAACTCATTATCCGTAACTATTTTAATTATATAGCCATATATACTAATATATCTCATGATGGATTTTCTATATTCTGGTTCACTTAGGTTCTGTATTTTGGTGAACATAGCAACCTTACTAAACTTGTCGATCATTGTGACGAGTGACGAATAGGGACTTATTTATTGAATAGAACACATCCATGTGTACTACCCGATTGGGTCTGTTAGGGGTTTCTGATAACTTTAAAGGTATTTTTGGAGGGGACCTATTATATTTTTCAGAGATATATATCTCGCAACTATTTATATATTCCGTTATTTTCTGTTTCATGTTGGGCCAATAGAATTCACCCTTTATTTCCTCGTAAACTTTGTTAATTCCTCTATGGTTATTTTCTAAATGTTTATTCTGTATGACGGTTTCTAATTCTTTTTCGTCTGTAATATTTTTTAGGTTTTTGGTACATCTTATAATTTTGTAATTAGGGAAATGATTTCTAACTATATTGTTTAATTTTTCTAAGATTTCATCAGAAGTAAAGATAGCGTTAGTGTTTTTTGGGTCAAAGTGATTTTTGACAATTAAAATTAGGGTACGTTCGTCTATATCTTTTGGTAATATAGTGTTGCATTTACTATTGTGTATTTTTCGGGTATATATGCTTAATGATCCGGAACCAATTTGTTTTATGATAATTTGGTTTTTGTATAAATTGAGGGCTGTTGCAGTACTTATTATTTTTTGAAATGTATCTCCACTTTCTGTAGTGTTATTTTGTGTCTCTTCGTCATTTTCATTAAAATTTATGTCCATTCTACTTAAAAAATCCGCGACTTTATTTGCTTGACCTTTCTTATATTCTATCTCATAATCATATTCCTGTATTTGTAATTTCCAACGGATCAACTTACTATTCGGCTCCTCTAAACTATTGAGCCATACTAGAGGTTTGTGGTCCGTAAATAGTTTAATTTTTCTTCCGAATACGTAAGCCTAAATTGTTTCAAGCACCATACAATACTAAGAAGCTTCTTTTCAATAGTAGAATAGTTAATTTCGTGTTCGTTAAGGGTGCGTGAGACATATGCTATAGGTTTGTTTTCTTGGGACAACACACCACCAATAACGTAATGGCTGGCGTCTATTGTGATCTCAAATGTTTTCCTGAAATCGGGATAAATAAGTATAGGGGAAGAAATCAGTTTTGCTTTTAGAATGTTAAAGCTATTTATATTTTGTTCGTTATTTACATCAATTTTAGAGTTTTTCTTTAGGAAGACAGTCATCGGTTTAGCTATATCAGCGAAGTTGCGAATAAATTTCCGGCAATATCCGGCAATACCGAGATATCTTTAAATTTCTCTAGGTGACTTGGGAATCTGACATTTTTGTATTATTTCTATCTTTTTTTAATTGGGTTTTATTCCTTGTTCATTAACAACGTGTCCTAGGAATTCAACTTCCTTTCTGAGAAAGTCACACTTTTCTAATTGGACTCGAAGTCTGGCATGTTTTAATTTAGTGAAAATCTTTTTCAAATTGTTTATTTGTTCCTTTAAGCCATTAGAGAACACCACAATGTCGTCCATATATGTTCTTTTCCAATATAATCTCTGAGAATGTTTCCCATTAGACGCCGAAATGTACTAGGACCATTTTTCAAGCCAAAAGGCATCCGGCAGAACTCTTAATAACCGTTGTCGAAGGAGAACGCGGTTTTTTCTATGTCGTTTGCATCCAATTCGATTTGATGAAAACCTGATTTTAAATCTATAACTGAAAAATATGTGCTTTTTCAAAGTTTGTCGAGTATTTCTCCAATATTTGGTATAAGGTAGGCATCGCTTATCGTTTTTTCGTTTAGTTTCCTACAATCTATTACTATACGGTATTTTCTATTTCCAGAGGCGTCCAACTTTTTCGAAACGACCCATACTGGACTGTTGTGAGGACTCGGGCTTGGTTGGATTATTTTATTTCCAAGCATTTCTTCAATTTGCTTTTGAATTTCTGCTTTATGAATATAGGGATATCGGTTTATTTTAGTTTTTATAGGGATACTGTCTATTGTATTGATTTTATGTTTTATTTTGTTAGTAAATGTTAAAGGTGTTTGTTGAGAGAATATTTTGTTAAATTCGCTTATAAGGTTATTTAATAGCGCCCTTTCTTCTTTATTTAAGTGGTCGGTTTTAATTTTATTTGAAAAATCTTTGTTTACATAACATTTTTCCTTAAATTCAAAACTATTAAATTCCACGATTTCGTCAATTTCTTCTGATGGAAAGACTTTGTCAAAGTTGAAAATTTTTGGTTCGTTGTTTGTATTAAGAATTTTTGCTCTAGCTTTAAAATTAGATACTTCGTACACACCTTCCAATACTTGAACATCAGAACTTAATTCGATCTAGTTTATTAATACATCACCATTATATTCTCTAACGGGAATTCTATAATAATATTCGCCGGGATCTATCTGATAAATTGTATTTTCTGGTTGATGATTGAAGTAAAGTCTTATGGGAACTTCACTCATAGTAAGGGTTTTATTTTTATAATCTATAAGGGAACTGTATTCTGTTAAAATGTCGTTGCCAATTAATCCATGATATGTCTCATGAAAATTATGTACGGAAAAGTTAAATTTTTTGCTAGATTTTATTTTAAATTCTTCGAAACATCTATAGATATAAATTCATCAATAATGGTATGGTTTCTCAACTCTCTTAATATTTATCGGTTTTTTAGGCGAACTCTTTCCGTTTGTTTAAAGACATCAGGTCGAACCAATTAACTCGACGCACCGCTGTCTATCAGAAATTTGTAATTATGAACTTTTATGTAGGGGAGTTTGGTTAATCCCATCTCCCGAAAATTTCCAATATCCAAAGCTTGCTGATTATTAATGTCCATAGGTTCGACTTGAGAATCGTTTTGATTAGGGTTATAGGGTCTTTTATTTTGGGTTTGCTGCCAACTAACTTGATTGAAATCCTGATTGCTGCTACTACTATTATTGGTATTAAAGGGATTTCGGTTTGTAAAATTCGTATATTTATTATTATTATTACGGAAAAAATTTGAATTTTGGTTAGTATTTGTGTTGGTTGAATTGTGACTTGTATTATAGAAATTTCTGTTTATAAAGTTATTATCTCTCCGAAAGTTCGTGTTACTATTATGTCTAAAAGGTAATTGTTGGGAGTTATTGCTTCTATTGTTAAAAGTACTACGAAAGCTATTTAAGTTTGAACAACTTTGTTTGGGAAAATTATTTCTATTATTATTAGTGTTATTATTTCTAAGGTTGGTAACGATTGTTATCGGTATGGGGGGCTCTATTATTGTTATTATTAAGGTATGCGTATCACGACTCATGTAAAATTTGAATCGAGCCTTCTAAAGATTGTGGATTCCTACAGGAAAGTATTGATTTTAAAGGCTCAGGGACTTTATTTTTAAAAACGTTTAGGGCACTGATATTGTTTGCATTCAAGTGACGTGTCATGCTTGCATTATCGTCCTGGTATTCTATTGAGTTTTCATATTAAGTCGATGCAGTATACATTTAATATCATTTTAGAAATGTACAGCATGAGTTTTGAAAACGACACTTCTTAACTCATCGAGCAATTGGTCGATCGATAATCTGTCCCCAAAATTGTTGTTAAGAACTTTTTTGATTTCGTCCCAAGTTGCTGCTTGGTTATTGATTTCCATGACCTCTCTAGCTTTTCCCGTTAGCTTGGATTTAATTATATCGGAAAAGATACCCTTTGAGAAATCGTCGTATTGAATTAAAAGAGGAGTTACGAGTATTCTATCAATCAAGTTTATAAAATTTTGTAAAGTACCGAATTTGCCATTAAATTGGGGCACGCGTTCTAAATATTTAAGTGGGTCGGGGGACAGTACTTTAGTTCCAGTCTCAGGGATTTTCCTTTGTTTTTCGGTATTTCCGTTAAAAGAAAGTAGTAATAATTTTTCAGCTAAAGTGTCAATATTGTCACTCTTAGGAGAGGACATAAAGTAGAGAGAAAAAAATTGATAACTTTATTTTTAAAATTCGAACAGGAAACTTTAATTAATAAGTTTGTTATTAATTTTATAAAAAAATTTTGTTATTCTGAACTATTTGAAAATTGATTTTATGTAAGTATATAAATTGATTTTACGTATGTATTTAATACACAAGCTTTAACTTTGATTTGGGAAATTTTTTAGTTACTTACGTGGCAAGAATAAATTATTAGAATTTCAAAATGTTTCAATATTCAACTTATGTATATGAGTTAAAAACGGTTATTACGTGGTTTTAAAAGAAATTTTGATTTTAATTATATTATTATTTTTGTAATATTTTCTAATTATGTATTTTTATTTATTATAAATTTTGTAATTTTATTTTTTTCTTTTTACTAATCAAACTGATTCAATTTCTTCATACCTTTTAAATCCTTATTCTCATAAAAAAAAAATTTGTTTTCTCTTTTTACCGACCGTGTTGTGTAAACAATAGGTAGGTTATGTGATGGCAACAAATTTTGCATATCGAGTTTTCGGTGGGAATGCACTTCTCCATAGTAGAGAAGTGTAAGTAAACTATTTTTAGCAACCTGTCGGTCCGTTGGTCTGTCGGTCTGTCGGTCTGTCGGTCTGTGTGTGCACGCGTGTATCTCAAGTTCTGCTGAACCGATTTTAATGAAATTTTATAAGTAAGTTTATTTTAACCATGGAACGAATTGATCAACTTTTGGGATATATCAGGCCTCGGGAACTGCACTTTTTAGCGGACCTGTTTTACATTTTTGAACATTTTGAAGAAAATATTCAACCGATTTACTTGAAATTTCATATATGAGCTTTGCTTGACCGTCCGTGAAAATTCCTAGCTTTTGGAACAAATCAGGCATCAGCAACTAAACGTTTACTGCGGGCCAAATATACATTTTTGTTTATATAAAGAGAAATAATCAACCGATTTCATTGAAATTTATTATTTGAATTCCTCGTATTAAAACAATGAACATGTAAATTTTTTGGAAAGATCAGGCATCGGCAACTAGACGTTTACTACAGGCCAAATATACATTTTTGTGTGTATAAAGAGAAATAATCAACGTATTTAATTGAAATTTAATATATGAATTCCTCGTATTAAAACAATGAATACATAAATTTTTTGGAAAGATCAGGGCTCGAAAACTGATTTGTGGGCCGATTTTACATTTTTTACTATTTTGAAGAACATATTCAACCGATTTACTTGAAATTACATATTTGAGCTTTGCTCAACCGTCCGCGAAAATTCCTAACTTTTGGAACAAATCAAGCATCAGCAACTGGACGTTTACAACGGGCTAAATATACATTTTTGTGTATATAAAGAGAAATAATCAACCGATTTCATTGAAATTTAATATTTGAATTTCTCGTATTAAAACAATGAACATAAAATTTTTTTGGAAAAATCAGGGCTCGAAAATTGATCTGCGGGCCGATTTTACATTTTTCACCATATTTACGGAACGAATTTATAGAATTCCTTGAAATTAGATATTTCAGTTCTGGTTGTTACCGAAACTAACTGGCGGGCATTTCAGATAATTCGGGTAGCACAAAACGAAACTCTACTAAGAGCCAAATTTCCATTTTTCTAGGTATGTTAACTATAAGCTTACTAATGTCCTAAAAATTGGAAAGAAGTATTTAAAAGACATTTTTTTTAATATTCTATAACACTTTCACTTAACTAGACAGTATACATAGCGGTCGGTTATGTGCTGACCACATCAGATTTTTTTTTTATTTTATTTATTTGTTTTCTTATTGAAAGAAAAATTAATGTTGGTTCTTATTTTGTTACAGAGAACTTATTTTAATATTTATTAATCAATTTATTATTTAAAATAATGTTTTAAACTTTACGTAAGCTTTATTTATTTGAAAATCACATTTATAAACTCTTTATTAAAAATCAATTGTTGTTGTTTATAATAATATATCTATTTATGGTATTGGAAGTACGCACCCTGTGATTTGCGCTCACAAGTACCGGCTAGTGTTGTTTATAATATTATATAATATATGTGTTGTATTAGTAGTAGGCACCAAATGATTTCCGTTCACACGTACCGACTATAGTTTAATTTACAAAAAAAATTTGTAATATTGTTATTAATTATTATATGAATTTTTATTATATAAGATTTTTATTATGGGCGCATCCTACCGACTGCGCCATTTACGGAAGTCGGAATTATGAATAAAAACAAATATTAGAATTTGAAAAATAAAAAAAAGGTTTTATTAGTTAATTATTGATAATATTATTTAAATAATACTATTTAATATTAGTTAGATATTATATTACATATTTTATTTAAATATCATTTAAATATTCTTTATATATACGTTGGTTAAGTTTTAGCAGTTAACAATATTCTTAACGTATATGTATAATATTCCTTAATTCGGTTTTATTTGCACTAAAACAACTCGCGTTGCAAACGGTAGGAACAAGAATAATTAATAATTACTATAAAGCTTTTTTCGTTTTTGATACAGTCACGTTACAATGCAACGTGTTGATAAAAGAACAAGAAAAACAAAATTTATTTTGCATAATAAATGCAAAATATGCTGATGCGCACAAATATGTTTGCGCGCGTAAATTATTGTTATAAAAAATATACTTTGTTATAAAGTTCAGTAGTTAAAATATGCTTCTATTATAGGGTGTTCCGGTCGTTACCGTAACTTCTAAGCACAGAAGCTTTTGCATTCTGCGAGAGCATAACGAAGACACCAGAGACCATTAGGATACAAAGGGTCCTGGCTAAGGATAGGTTGCTGACAACGGTTTTTGCACCCAGATAAGAGAGACATAGTGCCCACGTCATTGAGGCCACAGCCTCACATCGTTCCTATTGAAGATGATGGAGAAGATAATACACAATCAGATCCAGGCTATTGTGCTGGTAAGAGGGCCACTAAGCTTTTGTCAATATACGTATTGGGCGCGGAGCTCGACAGAGGTCGCTCTGTTCTGACGTATTAACATCTTAGAAAAGACATTAGAAAAGAAAGAGGTGGTGCTATGTGCGTTCTTGGACAACGAGGGGGCTTCCGACAATACTTCATATGAGACAATTGAGGGGGCCCTCCGTCTCCGTTGATACGAAGTTTAGTGGCGGGGTCCTTGAAAAACTTTTTAGTTAGGGAATTGATACCCAGGCTTATGCTGATGATATTGTTATCGTCGTACTCTCTGAGACATAGTCCAAACGAACTTACGGGTGGCGCAGATATGACGTGATAGTTTAGGTCAGTGAACCTCGAGCGGGTTCTGTAAGGACCCAGGGGAGAGAGGCACTATAAGTTCTTTACGTAGTCGCGGTGCAGTGTTACCCCGGGTTTACAATCTACAATCTATCCCTGAAGCCTTATGGGAATGGCTTGAGAGGTTCGCGTAGCTGTCATACAGCTCCAAAAGCTAATTTTGAATATTCGTAAAGTTTCTATAGTGGATAAGGAGTTGGTATACAACAGTGAAAGGAAGCTCTAGATATTTCAAAAACAAATTTTTAGACACAGTTTCTTTAGGTGCATAAACCGACCATAATTCTGTCGGTTTATAGCGACTGAAACGTTTTTCCATGTTTTTTCATGTTTCAATTTTTTAACTTTTGAATAAAACAAAACCTTAAGAGTGTAAGCACTAACAAAGTAGAAAAAGATTGAATTTTAACTTTCTCTAATCAAAAACTTAAAGAGAGTTTATCTTGAGGGAGATTTATGATGTTAAAAAGGGCCCTCTATAGCTTCCACCAGAATACGTTATTGTATTTCTGTGAACCGTGGGTTTGACCCAACTTTATTAATATAAAAATGTTTTGTGAAGGGTTTTAAAAAATATATTATAACGTAGTATTCTTTTTTCAAATATCTTTCCATGTAATTCTTAAATGTGTTTTTCGCTTAGTGTCATTGTTTTTTTATTTCACACAAAATTTACTCATACAATGTATGAATGTGTAATTTAATCATATAGTACACTAACATCAATGTTTTTGTAAACATTGTGTTGCAATAAGGATTGCAGATGGTTGGAAAATAAATACTATTTTGTATTGACTAATAATACTTTTATTATTTTTATTCGTATGCATTTGTGATTTAAATTATTTAAAGTGCGGAAATTGAATTAAAAATTTTAGAGGCTTATAAATATCGAGTTTTTCTATATGAGGATGATTTTATGAGAGGGATTACTGTATTTTGGTTTTATATAAAAAAAATTTATAGAGTGATAAGTACTGTAAGTTTATACATTAATATAAATTTGTACATTTATTTTTATAAATATGTATTTATTT